CCATACATATTTATATGGTACAGGGACTTTTGCCAGTTCATACTGTTTCCCCTGAAACTTTACATACATGCTTTATATGCAAGATCATAATCATAACTGTGTATAAATGAGGGATAGAGAGATTATAAGGTACAGCCCCCAAAGTATAGACAGTCACAATATGATCTGTAGCAAATTTCCCAAACATGGGGTCTGTGCTGCTATAGAAGTCCATTAAAAATGTCTTCAAAAGGAGCAGGAGCAGGTTGTACATTTTCAAATGCAGATATATAATCCACAGAGAGGCAAGAAAGGTGAGGTAATATCCTTTAGTGGATCAGCTTCTGTCCCAACTTATATTTAGCTCAGGCATGTTGCATGTTCTCCAAACACGAAGAATAGCTGTGTGTAACTTGGAAGCTTGTACCTTCCACAAAGAAAAGCTGCCCCAATAAATGATTTTACCTCTTTTATCTTGTCTCTCATATCCTGAGGCCAATCTGTCAGTTTAGTGCCAGATTCTGCTCTTGGATGCTTGCATAACTCTGATTAAAGTTTACTGTATAAAAAGGTAGTACTTTCATCACAGGTTTTTAAGAAATCTGGAGTTAAATTAATTGGTAATTATTACATTATCTACATGTAGTTGTGAAAACTGAATAAATGGCTTGTGCTGTTCCTTTGCATTTTATTTATTGCAACTGAAAAGAGAACTTGCTCATTTTCACTGTGAAATATATTAAACATGTGCCTTACAAAACATTTTTCAGGTATCTTGCTACAATAGATATTGTTAAAATGCAGCCTAAAAACCTAGACGTTAATTATTTTCCAAGATAGTTATTGTAGGAACTGAAATTATAATAGTATTTGACATCTTGCATATTTTATCTTGAAAAATTTAAAAGCACTTGAAATACTATTATATACAAAAACTACTTTAAAATAGTTTTTTAGGTGCTAAGTCAAGATCTGGAAAGCTAGAAGTAGGTTGCTCATGAAATCTCAATTTAATCTCTCTGTGCATACGTGTGACGATTCAGTCTTTAATTACACAATCATATGCTATTTTATTTTCTCCCGTGACATCTTTGCCTCAGTTAGCACCTGGGATAGATGGTGCTCAGCGAATGAGGTTGTGTTTGGTATTTCTGTTTATCCTCATGCAGTGGATAGCCTTATGCCTTGTTTACTGCACAGAATTCAAATTCTGGGTTGAATATAGAATTACTGATTTCCTCATGCTCTTTTCTATGGTGTTCATCACTCTAGTATCTGAGGGCCTCACAGACATATTAAGGAAGTTATCTGTTCAGCTCCCTGAGTGATAAGAGAATTATGATTCCCATTTTACAGTTGGAGAAGCAGACAGTGACTTGCCTGAGGTTTATTTCTGGAGGAATTCTGCACCACTTTGCATGTGCAGAATTAATGTCCCCTGCAGATATTTTTCCTCTACAGAATATGGATTCTGCTGGAGAGGAACTGCAGTTACCCTTTTCACCCACCAGGAGCTGCTCTGGTGCCAGAAAAGAGGGCAGCCAACCAGGGCAGCTACATTCCTCACAGTGTGGCGAGGTGAGGAAACACAGGACAGACAGAGTAGGACATGTGGCGCTGCTGCAGGGGATGCGGGAGTCATATGTAGATTCAGAAGGGCTAGTGGTAGAGAGAGACTAAGGCACCCTGGGGTGACTGAAATGAACTGAGGCTGAATGGGAAGTGGGCTGCAGGGCTACATAGGTTTGGGGGATTCAGGACCACATGATGATGGGGGAAAATATTCCTGACTAAAGTGGAAAGGCTATGGGGACTGCATGGAGCAGGCTCCTCAACTCGCTAACAGTCTCCTCCCCCTCAAAAAAACCCTGTTTGATACTTCTCGCACCCATACCTAACAATCCTCCAGGGTCTCTCACAAGCTCCTTCCCTTTTCCTCAGCTTCTCCATTACCCACGATTCCCCCAAGTCTTTGCACTTCTTCCAAGCGGTACAGTTAATAAGTGTGTAATTTAATTGAATTACTCAGAGTTCTGCATTAATATGCCTAATAAGGAATCAATTTGTCAGAAAAACTTTTCTGAAATTTTTGTTGTCTGTATTGTTACAGGTACACTTGCTGTCAAGTATTTTGAAATTACCAAACTAATTGAAACTGGCACATTAGATTGTGTTCGTTTGACAGATAAAACAAGCAGAATTTAGCTGAATTTTAAAATAGTGTGTACAGAATTTTTAGATGTTGGCACAGAATTCCCCCACAAGTTGAGGTGATGCGGTGTGTCATTGGCAGAGCTCTAATTTGAACTCTGGAACCCACTGACTCTTATCGCTTTTCCCATCCCTTCAAACCGTTCAGAGCTGCTCAGTATACACAGCTTCAGTTTGTCTTCAGTTGCAACTGAGTGATTAGCACTTCTGTATATCATACCCCAAGAGTGTCAAATTTGGCACCCAGAAGAACATGAACACACAAATAGTGGCAACCTGCCAACATTTTTATGTAAGTGACTTGCTCATTATAAGGAAGTCTGTAGCAGAAACAATAGAATAGAGCTCTCTGTGGTGACATTCACCTTTTTTTAACCACAAGACATTTCTTGCATTCTGTACATACCTGCGTTTTAGAGCAAATTGGACAAGGGCTTGTTTTGCATACAATTTAGACTTAATCACCAGCTATCCTGTACACTGATGAGGGGCTCTTGTGCAAAAAATAGTAAGTGATAGTGCAGCTAACACTATATAATAGTGCGTGTGCGTACAGGGCCAGATTTTGTTTGCACAAGAAGTGCTTGGCTTGGAAACCTTAAATAACTTTCTTATAATGTAGTTTATTATATTGTTCACTGTTAGTCTTAAAAGAGAAAAAGATAAAAAACAAATTCTGTTTTGTACAAATGTTATGTCATAGAATCATTGAATACTAGCACTAGAATGGACCTTAAGAGGTCATCAAGTCCAGTCCCCTGTCCTCACTGGGCACCATCAGCAGGACTAAGCACCATGTAGATCATCCCTGATAGATGTCTATCTAACCTGCTCTTAAATATCCAGTGGTGGAGATTCCACAACCTCCATATACAGTTTATTTCAGTGTTTAACAACCCTGACTAGTACAAAGTTTTTCCTAATGTCCTAACTAAACTTCCCTTGCTGAAATTTAAGCCCATTGCTTCTTGTCCTATCATCAGAGGTCAAGGAGAATAATTTTTCTCCCTCCTTCTTGTAACACCCTTTTAGGTACTTGAAAACTGCTATCATACTCCCTCTGTCTTCTTTTTTCCAAAATAAACAAACCCAATTCTTTCAATCTTCACTCATAGGTCATTGTTTCTATACCTTTAATAATTTTTGATGCTCTTCTCTGGACTTTCTCCACAACTTTCTTGGAATGTGGTGTCCGGAACTGGACACAATATTCCAGTTGAGGTCTAATCAGTGCAGAGTAGAGCGGAAGAATTACTTCTTATCTCTTGTGCACAACACACTCATTAGTACATCCCAGAACCATGTTTGCTTTTTTGTGCAACAGGGTCCACTATGACCCTGAATTTTTTCGAATTGCAATACAGACTTCTACCACGTAAACCTGAGTACTTACTGAATTGGTTGGCAGCAGCATAATAGTTATCCTCTGTAAACCAACCACTAGAATACCGTATATAATACACTCAGTGATCTACCTATGCATGATAAGCCCTGTTTTATTGACGCTACATCCAAAATCAAAGATAAGACATATTGAGGGACATTGGAGCTATCTGGGTATCATTGGGTTTGATGTATTAGAAATTTGCATTCTGCATTCCCAACTATTGTAACCTCTCAGTGTGGTTGAAGCCTTGCTTAGTAAAGGGTTTGTAAAGGCTGTAGAACTATTAACACCTCTCAGTAGAAGTGAGTCTTGGCTGGTATGATTTAGTTGGGATTGGTCCTGCTTTGACTTCCTGAGGTCTCTTCCAACGCTAATTTTCTATGATACTGTAAGTCTAACTTACACTGTCTTGGTTCCCAACTCTTTTGTGCTGTAGGGCTTCTTATCCTGCACCTTTTAAAGGTTTGGGGAGCAGGATGGGAGAAATTGGTTCTTTTCAGCCAAGTTCTGGGTCCTGGGTGTGGTTTCAGGACCCCTTATATTTAGGTTGCCTGACATTTTTTTGTTATGAAAGATTGTTTTTTCAGAAGTTATAATATTTCCATTGTTTAAAGACCATTTTATAAACTCAGTTGGGAGGTTGCTGTGGAGCAAAGGACATGCCTAAAATTATGCTCCTGTGATTCAAACAACATATTTGTAAGAATCACTTCATTAATCACTGCAGTGTACCCACCTCTGGGTTGAATCATGGCAACATTTAACAGCAATGGGGAACATCACATAACCCTTTACCATAGAGGTGAATGCTTGATTGAAAACTTAGCAAGAATTTAGGTAGGCAGAAGTACTGTAGTAAATTTTATTGAAGGCACTAATTAAAAAAGGCAAAAATGAAAACCAAACTTTTACATTTGCCAATTAATAATATTAGCACATGAGCTTTTTAGTACATTCTAATAATAAAAATGTAGGAAGTGGTGTGTTTGTCATGAGAGGCTTCTTACTTGAACCATTATTCTAGTTAATTTGCAGTTTCATATTTAGATCGCTATTGTGGTTATTCAAGCATTGTATTTATAATATGCAGTAGATTTATATAATGAAGAATGAAACATCACTGTGATAATTACAAAAAATGTCAAATATTCAGGCTTCTGATTGAATATTTAGTATCCTCTTTAGTCTGTTTTTCTTGTAGCCAATAGGTGCAGAAAGATTAAGAACTTTGTATTACAAAAAAACAAGTTTATAATTTATTTTCTTTTAATTTACTCTCTCATGAATTTTGCATGATGTACAATATCCATCCATTTTCAGTTTTATTAGTTTTTGAGACACACTGAAGCACTGTATGCCCCCCACAATTTCACACTTCTCTTCTGGACCCCTCTCTGTAGGCCTAGGGTCTCTGGAGAAAGCCTGTGGAGCGGGGGAAGGCATGGAAATTGGGACAAGGGATGAATGAATAGAGGCAGGACAGAGGATGCACATTGCCCCAGGAATAGATAATGTAGCCTGGGACTGTATTAGCCCTTCCATACAAGTCCTCCCCTTTTCCTACACCTATTCATAGCTGGGCCTATGGGACAACTGCAGTATTGTCAAATTTAAAGGTTAAATCTTGAATCAGGCACCAAAAAGTCAATATTGACTTAAAAATTAACGTTTTCTTTGGCCATTGGTTTCTGAGCCTGTAGGGTTTTCTTGTGCTAAATTTCTCTCAGTAATCATAAAGACTATAAACTTTTTTAAAGTGAAAGTTAATGAACTATGGCGAGTTGAGCAACATGAGCTTTAAAAATATTGCAAGACTCACAGTATGAGATTGACAACCCTGTAGCTATGGACAGGAGTGTCCCTAATAGTATGATACTAGTGGATTTCCGTTGCCAGGGAGCTGGGGTCACAGCCGGTGCAGAGCTGTGAGATAGATAGCCTTGGCTTCCCGTGGATCCTCAGGTATCTACCAAGTAGGCCCAATAACCTACTGGGGAGAACTGTCCCTGTTCTGGGATGATAGAGAGGAATTTTTGTGGAATTTCCTCCCCAGAGCCCCAATCATGTTGCTTCCTCCCTCCCCCCCACCATGGAAGAGGGTGATGTGGGCTGTTGTTTTACTCATTTGTTTCTTCTCTTAAATTAGATCACATCCAGGTCACATTTCCAAGCTTTTCTTTGCAACATTTAAGGGTGAGATTTTTTATGAAAGCTGTGGTTCTGATGTGTTGTGGCTCCGGGTGTTAGAATACTAGAAACTGTCTCCAGAGTCTGTGCCTTAATCTGGTTCTGCCTGTGCATCTACAGTACACAGTGGAAAGGTCCTTCCATTGTTAATAGGTCATGATGTTGAGTTTGGGTAAGAGGGAGTGTTGATCTTTCTTCACACAGAGCTGGTGGCCCAAATATCTCCTGCAGCTGATATGGAGGAGGGCCTGTTGCAGTAATGGCTAGGGGTATGCAATGCAGTATCCTTATATCTTGGCCTGCCCCAGCTGCTTTGCTGTCCATTCACAAAAAGTTTGAATACTCAGGTTTTTTGAGGGGAGAGTGGATTTTACTTTATATATCTGAGTAGATGTTGCAAACAAATCATTTTTTGCAGCGTGCCTCTGAACATACTACCTGTAAACCCCCTGCCCCCTTCCACCTTTTTGTTTTTTAATTCTTGCCTTTTGGTCATCTACTGAATCATTACTAAAGTATTTTTATTGTAGATTAGGTTCACATGTTACTTTTAATACTTATTTTTTTCTTTTCTTTACTGTTTGTTACTGAAGCTTCACCATGCAGCTACATCATTGGCAGCAGACCTGCTAAGATACCATGCAGATCACATGGTTTTGAAGGCATTAAAAATCACAGGCATGGAAGGAAATCTAGAAGCGGTAGCAGAATATACTTGTAAGCTATCAGAGCAGAAAGAGCAGCTTGTTGAGGTGAGTTAACAATTTTATTTTCAAATATATTTAATGTAAAAAATGCCATAATCTATTTAAATGAACTATTCTTCAAGGTGTCTTTCATGTTTTAATCTGTACAATGTGTATCTGATGCTACTGGACTCCACATTCTCCTTGAATATAGTAGCTGAGTGCAGCATGAACTTCCTCGCTGAACCAAAATTTGAGTCTACTCTTACAGAATTGGACCCACCTCCCCAGCTGTGCAGCTCCTGGTACTGCTTGCTGTGGACATAAGAACCTCATAGCCTAATTTTTGGGGCCCACTGTCACTGCATATTGGGGCCAAGATTTTCATAAATAGGAGTTAAGTTACACTCTTAAATCCACATTTAAACACTTGCTTAGTCTCTCAAGAGTACAAAACAGGTTCTGTTGATATCAGTGGACGTTTTTAGGTGCTCAGCACACTTAAAATCATAGAAATTCCTAAATATGAATTCAGGAGCTTAACTTTAAGCAAGCATTATGTAGATGCCAGAAGGTGTTTATGAGAAGAATAAAGAGGCAACTTGACAGTAACTGGAGAGTCCTCCCAAGAGTTTTGCCTCCCCATGTGCATGCTTACTGCCCACCTTCCTGTCTTTCTAAGAATTCTGCTTTAAATTTTGGACTGTGAGATTTAGCAGAAGAACTGGTGATGTTAGGCACATACATCCTTTATGTAACCTTGGCCTTGGATGTTGGTGCTGCCAGAAGGTGCTTGTGTGGCATCCTACAAGCATTACTTTTTTAAAGGTTCTGATGTTGACAGTGCATGAGGGTACGTCCCACAGTTGTGAATGTGCAGAGGAAATACACTTGAAGAACTTAAGTAACTGGTAAGTAAGTACTCTCTCTATTTTTAGTTCCACCTCAACATCTGCTTTTGCTGTGTCTGTGTCTGAAGCACTGGGATAATTTCCAAATGTGATATTTAGATTAATCCTGCTCCTAGTAAATATAATAAACTGCAAAGTAGAGCTCTGTGTTTGAGAGTGTGTATAAGAGTAATTGCACTGGCTAGTGATGAATACTATAGTGAAAATTACATATGGACTTCAGTCATGAAATTAAGTGAAATGGGTTTGTAACTTTCTCAAAAGTTCTCTTTTTGGGCTGACAGCTTCTATGTTCCTTCTCAGCCTATAGGTGAGTTGTTGTTTTTTCATATTAAAAAATGAATACATTCGTTCAGCATATAGCAGAAAACAATTTTTTTAAAGAATAGTTTTAAAATCAGTGTGACATTGTGTTACTGAAAGTTTAGTCAAAATGAGGTTAACTTTGAAATTGAAGTTTTCCATGTGACTAGTAATCACTGATTAAGTTTCTTGCTGAAATACATTTGTTTTCTGAGTTTAAAGCAGGGGTTTTCAAACTCTGGGTTGCGGCTTATAAGGGCAAGCTGTTACCTTGGCTGCAAGACATTCTATTTACTTGCACCTCTGCAGATATGGGCAATCACATTTCCCGTTAGCCACAGATCGCTTTTCCTGGCCAATTGGAGCTGCAGGAAGCGGTTTTCCCAGTCCACACCACTGCCTGCAGCTCCTATTGGCTGAGGACAGATCTGCAGCCAACAGGAGCAGCGATTGTCCATTTCTGTGGAGGTGCAGGTAAACAAAGTGTCTCACGGCCAGCTAGTGAATTGCCCTTACAAGGCAGGATCCAGAGTTTGAAAACTCCTGATATAGTGTATGTTATGTACATGGCTACAGAGGACTATACATTGACTACCACTTGAAAAGCAGTTTGTCTTACTCTTGTGCTACAATTTCCCCCACAGAATTTTATTTGCCAATGTTTTTAATCTTTTGTATTTATTGAGCTGTGAGTGTACACTATGAAATCACTGTAGAACAGTGTTCCCTGTAAGATGTGTGTTTGTGCGGCCACCCCAGGAAAGAGTCAATTGCCGCCCAGTTGATAAGCAGAGCACCCACAACTGGCAGCATGTGTTTCAATTGGTGGTGTACATCTACACATGCCTTGGTGCACATGCCAAAATGTATTCTGCACATAGAAAACAGAAGTAATATGGGTTTAGAGATGAATACTGTTGGGGTTTTTTTGGTATGTTTTCTTTAAAAAAACGTAAGAATAAATGCTATCCTTAAATGCACACACTGCATATGCTCATTGGCTTGAGTGGAAATGCTGTCTCAGATTAATTAAATACATATAATGCAACATTAAACTTTTATGTTTAAAATGTAAACAACCATCAGGAAATATTACTGTGAGGACCATATTTCAACGTGTTGATACATATCCTGTAAATTTTTAAAAATTAACACAGAGTATTATTACATACAAAAATCCCCCACATAGTAAGAAAGTTTATTTTTTTTACATAGTCAAGCTTTTGAAAATTAGGAAATGCCAGGGTGAAGGTTACATTTACAACCTTAATTTTCCCCCTTTGTGCATTTGTATTGATAGTATGATCATGTACTTAAAGACGATGTATTTTCCACCAACCTCCTACTTCATTCATTTCACAGGATGAACAGCTTTCTGGGAATGAGACAGCTGTTCAGTATTTTTATCTTCATCATTCAGTGTGTGGCATCTGCAATAATTACTGCACACTATCCAAAGCCTGTAATGAATACACAAGTATTAATTCCTCATTGTTTTGAGTGCTCATCATTGCAGTTTTTGAGTGTCTCATGAATATTAATGCATGTATATACATATTTCGTCTTTAGTAAAAGAACATTAACCCCATTTTACAGATGGGGAAAATTAATACATAGGTTTGGCTGAGAGCACATTGAATCAAGCGAAGGTAAGAGCAGAACTTATGGGTCCCCTAATTAACAACAGTTATGTCATCAGCATCATACAAAACATCTTTGGCATAGACTGGGATAGAGTTGAGTTCTCATTGTGTGACATTCACCTGCCTTAACCATAAGACCTTTGTTTCTGTTTCTGCAGTTCCCTGTTTTTTCCCTCTGTGTATCCAATAACTTCTGCAGAGAATAGCCTCATTCACTGTACAATATCTGCTCATTTTCTGAATGCTCTCTATCCTGTGTAATGAATGACTTGGGGTGCTATATGTGTGCAGCGGGGAAGAAATGTACTCCAATAATTAAAGATTGCCCTACTGCATACCCACAAAGATGCAGAATTAAGGTTGCACAGCCAACATAAATTCTGGAACTTTTTAACTTACAAGGGTTAGACATTGTAACTAAATGTTTGTAATGTGGCATGAATGGGTGATGCTTACCAGGTAACCAGTTAACCGGTTACCTGTCCACATCCCTAGTCTTGAGTTCCTTCCAGTTCTATGATTACTTGACTTGAACATCAGACCGCTAAACATACTCTTAATTGGGGATGTCAACATAAAGTCCACTACACGATTAACCGTTAAGCCTGGGCTTATTGGTTAATCCCATCGACTACACACACTTCCCCCTCCCTCTTGCTGCCTCTATATCAGAAGCAGTGGGGTGGGGAGGGAGGCGGTGAGTTTAAGCCGGCTCTCTGCATGCGCCGAGGGTGTTAAGAGGTATCGTGTAGTGTAGTTGAAACAATGTATTGGCTACATGATTAGTCAGTAAGGGAATGTGCTGTGTATTAGCTCATGCCAGTCCAGGAGCTACCGCCGCTGCAGCCCGGCTTCTAGTACATTTAAATTGCAGAGCTGGAGCTGGAGTATATCTGCAATTGGCACGAGCCAGGACCTCTGTGCCTCTGCATTTTAAATGTAATAAGAGTTGCCTGGCTCTTACTGCATTTATAATGCAGAGCTGCAGCTGTCCCAGACTGGCACACACCGGATCCAGCAGCCCCTGTCCGTGGGGGGTCTCAGTAAGGAGCTGGGACTCCCCGCAGACAGAGGCTGCTTCACAGCAGCCTGTCCTATCCCCAACCCTGCTGCATCAGGATGGGGGGGGGGGGGCAGGTGGCACCATGAAGATGATTTTTGGGGAAACTGTGTTTTAAACTGGCTCCCCCCAGCATCGACTCCTTTTCCCCCCTGCCCTTGCTGTTTCTGATACAGCGGCAGAAAGGGGGAGGAAAAGCAAGTAGCTGACTTGACTACCCGATAAGCTTAGGCTTATCAGATAGTCAACTACTTGCTTACATCCCAACATGTGCCAGCCCTGTGGAGCTGCTTGTACCTGCCTGCTGCCTCCCACAGAAGCAGCCAGCTCCCCTGAACATGCCAGCTCCCACCTGCCCCCCTCCCGTGTGTAAATGTGTGACCGCTAAAATTTCAAGCAGTTACATATTTACACAAATACCCAATAGTTAACATCCCTACTCTTAGTGTCACTTATTTTCTTAAAAATTTCCCTGAAATTTAGGAGGATAAAGAGGAAGGAGACGTGAGGGGGAAAATAGTTTGGTACTTTTTTTTTAATGTTTTGAACTCACTCGAACCCCTTGCTGGAATGATGGCCCAATAATTCATACATCTCTACTACTCCAGAGGCAGTTTCTGAAACTTTTATTGTACCTGATAGGTTTGCACCTTTTCTCAGCAATGAAAAGAAAATAAATGTTACTGCTATGTTACCCTTCTTTAATATATCTTATTTATCATATTATTTACTTTTCAAAATACCTTTTTTCTTAGACATGTCGCTTGTTGAGGCATGTTTCTGGAACAGAGCCACTTGAAATTACTTGCATACATGCAGAAGACACCTTTCAAGTCACTGGCCCACAGGTATGAATACCTTTCATTTCATCACAGTTTAAGTAGAATTATGTAAAATGGACATACACTAAGGCTATGTCTAGACTGCAAGCCTCTTTCGAAAGAGGCTTTTTCGAAAGATACTTTCAAAAAAGCCTCTTTCGAAAAAGAGCGTCTAGACTGCAAGCAGAACTTTCGAAAAAGTAAGCCGCTTTTTCGAAAGAGAGCACCCAGGCAGTCTGGACGTTCTCTTTCGAAAAACCCCTGTTTGCATTCAAAAACGCCTTTTTTCAAAAGAGCACTTTCGAAAAAAGGTGTTCTTCCTCATGAAATGAGGTTTACCGCCGTCGAAAGAAAAGCCGCGTTTTTGATTTAATTTCGAAAGAATGCGGCTGCAGTCTAGACGCAGGTGACGTTTTTTCGAAAAAAGGCTACTTTTTTCGAAAAAAAACCCTGAGTCTGGACACAGCCTAAGATAAAAGTGCCAGTCCAGTTTACAAAGAAATATACTCAGAGTATTACAGTTGGTAGGTGGTGTAAACAATTCTAGAAAGGGGTACAAGCTAGATCCTCTGGTACATCATGATTTGTGCTCAGGGCATTTTGGAAGAGTGTGCAAAACTGGCATAAAGCTCCTACACAGCCTGTTTGTTTTTCTGGACTGTGCTGTAGCTTCCAGACTGCTATAAATTGTGCTGGCTTATGCAGCCATTTAGGACTGAGTGCTAGAGATGTGTTAGCTTTTGAAAGCTTGTGACTTTCACCAACAAAAGTTGGTTCAATAAAATGTATATGAGCTCATCCTTGTTGTTTGTAATATTCTGGGATCAAGGGGGCTACAAGAACACTATAAAAAGTTACATTATCTAAATAAACTAAACTAATTATGATAGAAAATGACAAACTAGAGTGGAGGAGTTGAAATGCTATGTACTTAGTTTTAACAAGCAACATATTCCCCAGGTGCAATCCTGTAGACCCTCATACATGAATAGTCTTTATATATTAACGCAGATCTTCTGACTTCAGTGGAATTACTTGCACATGTAACGATTATTCAAATTATTAAGTTTGCAGGATATAAAACTAAAATTAACATATCATGTAATACTTGTATTCATTTACTACTCTTTCCTCTTCTCTAGTATTTTGGAACTGATTTTTTTTTAAAGCCACATATTCATAAATATACTCAGCACCAGAATGTTCCAGCTAAAGGCCTTAGAAGGATAACCTATGTTTGCCGAACAGATGTAATACTAATCCTTTCTTAATGTTGAAATTGTTTCTTGTTTTGTCTGGGGGGCTATTTGCAAATTAGTCTATAGCATTACACGGCAAGGTGGTTTTCTTAACATTTGTTGATCAGTGACTGCGTTTTCTTCAGATCATTTCTGCTGCAGAAACATTGACATTACATCCATCTAGTAAGATTGCAAAAGAAAATCTTGATGTGTTTTGTGAGGCTTGGGAGTCCCAGCTGAGTGACATGTCCATGTTGTTGAGAGAAATCAATGATGTGTTTGAGGGAAGACGAGGTAAGAGTACTGTTCATCATAACACATATGCATTCCACGTATTTGACCTGTTCCGCTAAGCTGCAGTCTAGCAAATATGCTGTTTTCTGCAGATGGATAAAAGATATTCCTTTTTCAATATGATAACTTGGTATCTAGGTAATATTACATCAGTACATTGGTTTTATAGAAACAATGAATGGGAGTTTGACTGTCTGATCTGCTAAATAAAATTAAGAATACATGATTTTAAAAATTAAAGGTAAGACTGAGATCCTATAAAAACATATGCATGTGCTTAAACTCCATGCCCTGTGAATAGTCCCACTGAAGTCAAATGGAACTGCTCCCTGTGCATAAAATTAAGTATGTTCTAAACCTGAGCAGAAATGGAGCCTAAAGTCTGAAGGAATTATATGGTTTTCAGAGCTACCTGATATGTCACTAAGTGATACCAAGCAAAATTATCATAAAATGCAATCAAAAAGTAAATTTAAATTCTATGACAAGTATAGTTTCATTGTGGGGATTTAGCATGATTACTATTAGCATTTCAGTTTTATTTTTGAAGTGTAGTTTGAGGCTTTCAGAATTTTTCCATTCTTATAGGCTTTTCATTGTCCAGTATTCCTGGAAAATAAATATTTATTTTAATTCTGTACTATGAGCTTGAATTCTATTCACTTCATAATGTAGTGAATGTAGCTATTTGATTTTTGAACTGCTGTCCTTTCTTCTGGATGGAATCTCTGACGACGACTACATAATCTTGGGATGTTTTCTCTGGTTGGTAAGTTAATTGGTATTTCTACAACACGTAGAATACAACCATGAAACTTTGAAGAACAAATCTGTGTTTATTCTCATTTTGGTATTGTCTCTATATGGTATTCTTTTCTGAAAATTTAAGAAAATAAACTGGTATTTATTTTTATGTAATTTAAATTTTCTTCAAAAAGTTTGTCTTCGGTGCAGTTTGGCATATCACTTTCATTGTTAAATATTTTGTCATTCTTCAAGTTATAACAGAGTTACAATGTAACATGCCATATATTTAGGCTTGGCAGAATGCTATTTTTAATATAACTTTAATGGATAATATTGCAATTTTAAGCACTTTAAATTTTTTTATAGATTTAAATTTTCACTGTTTCAGAAAATGACTGTGTGGGGATTAGAGAATAATTATTTAATGATAGGAGACCATTGAGATTCAAAAAGTTAAATATTTGTGTTAAAACATGAAGGCTGCGTCTAGACTGGCAAGTTTTTCCGCAAAAGCAGGTGCTTTTGCGGAAAAACTTGCCAGCTGTCTACACTGACCGCTTGAATTTCTGCAAGAACACTGACGATCTCATATAAGATTGTCAGTGTTCTTGCAGAAATGCTATGCTGCTCCCGTTCGGGCAAAAGCCCTCTTGCGCAAATGCTTTTGCGCAAGAGGGCCAGTGTAGACAACGCGGTATTGTCTTGCGCAAAAAAGCCCCGATTGCGAAAATGGCGATCGGGGCTTTCTTGCGCAAAACCGCGTCTAGATTGGTACGGACGCTTTTCTACAAAAAGTGCTTTTGTGGAAAAGCATCCGTGCCAATCTAGACGATCTTTTCCGCAAATGCTTTTAACGGAAAAACTTTTCCATTAAAAGCATTTGCGGAAAATCATGCCAGTGTAGACGTAGCCAAATTGTCACCTCATGTGTCTAATTATATAAAGTAAATATCCTTAATTCAAACACTAGCAAGTTCTGTTGCAGGAATTTCTTGCATTGTTTTAACGTCACCTAGCTGTACAATTCAGTTTTCCTCCATGGATACATGTTTTGTCTGTGAACGTGTGTATGGAAAAATCTACATTTATTGATAAAAATCTAATACTTTCAAGCCTAAATATGTTTAATCTGTTTTGCATTTTGAGAAAAGTTACTCAGGGAAATGCAGTGATTTGTTTAAAAATTAGATGAACACAGGATTTGACCATTTTGTTTCAATATCTGAACTATTACTGTATGTTCTGAACCAGGGCAGACAGATTGTCATTATATACTTTATCTTGCCACTTACCATAGGATTCTTTCAAAGGTAGTCAGAGTGTCAAACTAGTAAACCTTCATTCTTATAGTATGATGAACTTCTACTACTAAGAATTCCTCTGAAAATTGTCTGTCTTGGGGCAAAGTCACATATTATCCATGATGTTTTATGAAGTATAAATTAAAATATATGAAAACTATGAATTTCTTTTAGTGACCTAGCGCACCTCTGCCTAGAGCAGTAGGAACAGGTCACCACTTGCAGGGAGGCACCCAAGGGGAGTGCCCTGAGACCCTTCTTGCACCCGGTCTCCCTCCCAGAGACTGTACCTTACCCCCTCTCCCACAATCAAACTACCTCCCTGTTAACTGGAGTTTTTCTTTTTCCCCAAGCTACACTAGGGGATAAGTTTGAATTAAGATATACAACTTCAGCTACGTTAATTGTGTAGCTGAAGTCGAAGTATCTTAACTTGAATTTTGGTGCCATCCACGTTGCAGGAGGTCGATGGAGCACACTCTCCCTTTGACTTCGCTTACTCCTTGTAGGAATAGGACTACCGGCATTGACGGGAGCACCCTCTCAGTTTGAATTAGTGGGTCTTCACTAGACCTGCTCATTCGAACTCTGGAAAATCGACTGCAGCTGCTTCAGTCTTCTCTGTAGTGTAGACATGGCCTTACTGACATTCCCCATTCCTACAACGTGCTGGATTTTTAAAAAAGCTTTTACTGTATATTTACTATAAAATATGGAGTAAATATTTACTTCTGTTTTTAAGACTGACTATGCAGTTTGAAATCAGTTGAATTCTTACATGTTTAGGAAATGGTTCATGTTACCTCATTGTTATGTTAGTGTTTGTTTTGTTATACTTTAAATGTTAGAACAGAACAGTGCTGTTTGTCAGCAACGTATGTACTCATCATTTGCAAAAATGAGTATGGATTTTTGAAATAGGTTAGAGGATGTTCCTAGCATGTCTTATTTTCAGCAGTTACTTTTCCTGTAGTCAACCATAAGAAATTACTACAAGCCATATGGGTGCTCAACTGTTGTATGAGCCCCATGGCATTTAGTGCCAAATTGCTGCCATGGACATTCTGTGCTGTCTCCTTACTTTTTAGTGAACCTGTGCATAAGATAGCCATTATATGATTGCCAGACTCTGAAGGTGGAGGAAGTAGGCGTGTAGCACTTGCTAGCAGTGTTGGAGACCTGATACCTTGCATCCACAGGGCTGCAGTACATGTTGGCTATACCTGTTTTGTTGCTGCAGCTAGGGACATATTTCCAGTCACAGTGCAGGGTTTGGTAACTTTGTTATAGCATATGTTCTTGTTTCTCATGGTAAATTATACTACTTACTATAATGCTGAGGTTGGCAAAGTTATCTTTATTTTACCTTGTACAAATGTGATCAGTGTTCTTTTGAGGAGTATGACTGTGTCTGTATAATAGAAGATAAAATTTTTTAGAAAGAGCCTTTTCTCCTTAATTTAGAAACTCTTGGTTTTGAAGTGATGTAGTTTTGTATTGCCCCTCTAAAACAGTGTTTCCCAAATGGTTTTCTGCGGCACCCTGGGGTTCCGCAAAGTGAAAATAAGGGTTCTGCGAGAAAATTCCATTACAATAACATGTTATTATTTTAAAAATGAATATTTAAGCATTTATGAATTTTATTGAAAACAATTTTCATTTGTGTTTGCTACGATAAGTATCCCTGTGTAATGCCAGCTTAGCCAGAGTGGGGACGATGATGTCACTACTCAGCGCTGATGTCCATATACAAGACTGTTATTAGGGGTTCCGCTAAATTCTTTCGAGTTTAAAAAGGTTCCATGGCCAAATAAAATTGGGAAACACTGCTCTAAAACATTGGAATTTGATATGGAGAGTATGGTAGAATTAATATTTAGAAGCCTGAAAGAAACAAACATTTGCTGTTGACAAATGCTGAAGGGCAACCAAAATATTTGTGGCGCATCTAATAAAATAAGCATTTTCTAAATTATTGTTTCAAAGTGTGTGTGTATGTCTCATTTGTTGATTTGCTTAGCAGGTATGTCGGTGTTCATTAAAAGCAAGCTATGCACTTTGCAAACTAAGACTTGATAATTGACATGAATTAAATAGAAAGCCTTCATTAAAAACAGCAAAATTCACCCTTGTGGTAGGAGGATGCAACTCTATTTGTTTCAGTGGCGTTATTGTAGTTTACACCTACGTAAAATTTTACAAATTGTTTATACGATAAACAGGTTTTTACCGGGCTGCGAAGTAACTGGGTATTTAGCTCATGAGAGAATTACTGCATTGGTCTTCAGGACTGGCCATACCAAACAGTTGCTTTCTGATTGAAGGAGAGTTGAGCTCAATCCTGTCTGCTGTAACTCTAGAACAGAGTGCCTGAGCCAACCATTGCAGTCAGAGGATATCTTTTTCATTGAGAAAAAGGGAGCAAGTGAGCAAAGCACATTCCCCTTCCTTCTTCAATCTCCTCCTGCTCTGTAAAGTGTAAAGAAGACTCCTCTGACAGACGAAAGAACAGGGAAAAGATTGAGGGGTAATATTGGAAAAATTGAGGGGGAAATGAGGGTAGAACAATTAGAAGATGGAATAATAACAAGCACGATGGAAGAAGAGATGAAAGGATAAAAATTGAAAAAGAGGAAAAAAATATATCTTTGTAGAAAGAGAGGGATAGAATGGAGTTAAGGAAAAGAAAAAGAACCAAGGTGTGGCATGTATTCTTTTTGATATTTTAATAGAAAGCTGAATCCTAAAACAATTAAACATGTGAATATAAAATATTTTGTGCATACCTAGAACATTCATATTATGGATATAAAATCCTTGAATAAACTGATGTGGGTGATTTCCTTGTCGATGATAAGTTATCTTGGACTTCAATAATTTTGCCTTTAGAAGACATGATCTTGTATTTAATGGCTTTAAAAAACCAGAATAATCTCACCTGCTGCTACACTAACAATAAAGTTCACATAGGATTCTCACTTGCAGGACTTCAGCTTCCACCACAAAACAGGCTGAGAACTCCTCTAGCTCTTCGCATTTTACCTCTCTCAGGCAATGGTAGTTGAATGTTTCACTTGTGTGCCTTTTCCAATTGTCAGTGCCCAGTCCCCTTCTAGAATCTTCATGGTGGTTTTCTAAGTACAGTCAGCAAAGATGTTCCTCGCTTGAGCTGTACGTTGGCTTTGTTCTCTTCTGGTAATTGCTGTTGTTTCCTTCCTTTTGTTTACGCTCTTCTCCCACTCAGTTCCTTTGTTGTTTGATTGGGGGGAGAGGGGGCTGCGTGGGCATGCAAAAAGCTTTCATTTGGGACTCATTGCACTTGTGACTATATTGAGCCAGTTTCCATGAGCCTATGTTCCATTTTCCTCTCACATCAAGGGTTTTCAGCTTGTCAGTTTGAGAGTGCGTGCATAGCACCTTAGGTATTTGGTACATATGAACTAGGATAGTTGGTGCTACAGTGCTTGAAACTTCTTTGATAGTTTTCTTTCTTTGTGTTCTCTATCTGGTTTTCCTATAGTGTTTGGTCCCTTTTGACAGCTTGGCACATGATGCCATCCAGAACCTTTGCTAATGTATAACACTCTTCATTGCAGAGCTCGGTCCGCTTGGATGGGACTGGCGTGGGTACCTGGCCTAGCTCCTGCTGCAGCTGCTCCAGGCTGGAAAGCGGCTTCTGCTGCTTCCTTGCTGCTACCTGATTGCCCAGTGTGGGGGAAGGGCAGTGAGTGCTGAAGGAGTGCCTGTTTCCATGTGGGACAGACATTCATTAGGCATACCTTCATAAAGATTTTATGACTGGCAATTTTGGGGGGCCACCATGCATAACTCACTGATGGCTTCACTGCTCCTGAGTGATGCAGCCGTTCCAGACTCATGCTGGTCAAATATGTGACAATACCACATGTTCTGCACATAGCATATTTTATGTGTGCCCGTGCAACCGTGTATTGCATGTTGTTCGTTACTTCTTTTTACATTAAGATGTGCTGTCTCTTGATTGTCTTTTAGTACTCCTGGGAGTGGGTGACCGGTGATGATGGTAAAGAAAGGAATTCTATACTCAAAATTTTTTTTTGCAAATATTATCTTGCAGGATTCCTGCTCATACACCCACCACATGTTCGGGTTCTGTTTTTGAGGCAAGGTTTTGGATTTTATTTATTTTTTTCCATCCTTTAGCCTGTCTTCTCCTTGGTGAGCATGGGGATGCTGGAGGCTGGTTGTTTGGTTATTGGCTTTCCCCCCTTTCAAGTAGTTCTTGTTCCCGTGTATTTCAGAATTGAAAGGGAGGGTCTAGAGGCAATAGAAGCCAGAATGGAGTGAAATGGAAGGGGCTTGTGCTCAGCTATCAGTGCCTGAGGATTAAAAATCTAAACACTAGCAGAGTTCCTGGCTTGTTGTGTGTCTGGAAGCAGAAGATAAAGAGTGGAAATTCTGGGTGAGCTTTAGAGAGGTATACAGGTTAATATAGTTTTTTTATAATGTAAAGTGAAGGGAGGGTGAAACCAGAAGTGTTCATTGAAATCTGCATACAAATATTCTTGTGTTATTCTTAGGAGAGAAGCGTGCTTACCTATCACTTCCCAGGCCAGGGGTAAGTTTTGTGGGTTGCTTCTATTTGTACATTTGTTGATAACTAACTGACCCCTACACCTTGCATACTGCTTGTGTATTAACTACCTTGTAAAGATACAGACAATAAAACCTTATTAATGCACACCTTGACTGTATGGCCCTTTGAAAGTTACTGGGTGTTTTGGGATTTGTTAGTAAATAATTAAACACTTTAAAAAGCTCAGGTAATTCACCATAAAATATGAATTTGATTTATTTCACAATGCTTACTTCATTTTAATTGTACTTTGCAATGTATAGAGTGTCTTGACTTTATTTTTTACAAAAGGTACCATAGTGCATTTATTATTACAGTGTCATAACTGCACTGTAATATATTGTAAAATAAAATAAGCTTTATAACATGACACATTCCCACACTGTTCTCTGAGCTAGTAACTCCTTTTATTGAAGGAGGAATTGGCTTGTTTGTATGCATACCAGGAAGTGTCCACACTAACAAGGTAGTGCTGTCTGTAAATAAAATTGTTTTTTCATTCAGACCTTGTCATTTGTATGTGAAAAATCAGTTTAATACCATGCTGCACAATAGGTCAACAGATTATATAACAATCTAGATTATATAATAAACTGTTTCTGAAAATATCCATCTGCTAGTAAGTCCTGTTGTATTACTGCAATATAGTAATAAGAATAACAAAATAATGTACTACATACTAGTCCTCTCTTGGGAAGAGGGGAATGATAGATATTGTCTCCAGTTTTATTTTCTGATCCCCTTTCTAAACCTGCAGAATTGAGCAGTTGGTAATATTGCATTATCATTTATTCTTCATCCTTCCTTGAACACTTCTGCAATTTCAAAAGCTGTACTTTGTTACTTTACCCTTAAGGAAAAGTTATACTATATTAAAGATTGGTTAATTCTTGAGCCTGCTCAAGGGTTTACTTAAGATTTAAGTGGTGCTCATTTTGGAAGTAAGTAAGTTGATTTGAGGGGAGAAGACTAGAATTTTTTTTAGTTAACTGCTTCAGAGACTACTAATACGTGGTTTGTCCCCAGATGAACCATCTGTGTAGCATTTGGTTTTGGAATATAAATCATACTATTCTACTGTCTTTCATAGAATTATAGAAGATTAGTGTTGGAAGAGACCTCAGGAAGCTACCTAGTCCAATCCCCTGCCCAAAACAAGACCAATCCCAATTAAATCATCCCAGCCAGGGCTTGGTCAAGACGGGATTAAAAACATCTCAGGATGGAGATTCCACCCCCTTCCTAGGTAACCCACTCCAGTGCTTCACCACCCTCCTAGTTTTTCTTGATAGCCAGACTAGACCACCTCCACTGTAATTTGAGACCATTGCTCCTTGTTCTGTCATCTGCCACCACTGAGAAGAGCCTGGCTCCACCTTCTCTGGAACCCCCCTTCTGGTAATGGAAGGCTGCTATTAAATCCCCCCTCACTCTTCTCTTCTGCAAACTAAATAAGACCAAATCCCTCAGCCTCTCCTCATAAGTCGTGCTCCAGCCTCCTAATAATTTTTGTTGCCCTCCGTTAGATTCTCCAATTTGTGGATATACTTTCTGTAGTGGGGGCTCCAAAACTGAATACAATACTCCAGATGTGGCCACCTCAGTCAGCACTGCCGAAAGAGGGGAATGATCACTTTGAAAGCTCTTGTTCATTTCCCTTTGATTCTCAGGTGAGCAGAGCAGAGCATTGCAGGAGGGCAAAAGAGTTGAGAGATCAAGAAAGAGAAAGGAGATTGCATTGTTGAGTACTGGAAGATAAATTTAATCGTTCCTGTTGATTTACTAGTCAGAATCTCTGTTCCCTCCAAGACAGCTTCATGTGTAAAAAGCTTAATATAGAAAAAATAATAATTCTGGTTGGTTCCCCATTGCTGGCTCTGTACCCACACTGCTTGAGAATAAATATCAAAGAGATGAAAGTAGTATAAAGTATAGGAAAGAAAAAAGGTGTGGTAAGGTAGGGGAAAAGAAGGGGAAGTACTTAAGAAAGGGAGGTGGAGTATACAGATGATATAAAAGAGGAGGGAGATACAGACACACACACACACACACAAATTGGGACAGATTCATATTTGAAAAAGAGCTGGGGTCAAAAATTTTCAAGAACAGTTTTGTGTTGGACAATGCAGATTTGAAAAAACAATGTTTTACAGGAACACATAGTAACTGTCATGGGAAGCAGTTAAACATGTTGTTGTTCTTCAAGTGCTGGCCCCTGTATGTGTTCTGCACATGAGTGTGCATGCACACCTTCTGCCTGAGTCTGGAAATTCTAACGAGCTCTGGCAGTAGTTCTCCTCGTGCTTCAGACTGAGGGCATAAGAGGTAGGGATGTTAATTTTTCAATAATCAGCTAATCGAGTAGTTGATGGAGTTTCCATCGATTAGTCAATGGGGGGGGGGGCACACTCGCTATCCCACTGCGCCCCTTCCTGAGACATGTATACGAGGTGGTTCCTGTACATTTTAAAGGGAGACACAGTGGGAAGCTGCAAGGGGCGGGGGGGGGGGGGGAAAGCAACTAGTTGAATTCCTACTCGATTACCTGATAAGCAAATGCTTATCGGGTAGTAAACTAGTTGCCTAGTCCCTTATAAGAGGCAGTGTGAGCCAAAGTCTCTCCATATCCTTCTAACTGCTACTTGGCCTAAGTTGGAATCCCTGTGTCCCATAGATTTCTCCTGTTTTTATCCTTAATAGTCTGCAAACAAATTTTTAAATAGCTTTTTATATTAGTATAATTAGTGTGTAAATAGTTAATTTCCTTGTACAAGGGACTTCCTCACCTTGGTCTGGGACGGTGCCTAGCGTCTCTGCATTCAAGAGCTGTGTCTACAGCCATGCACATTGCAGCAAAGTGTGGCTTTTGTCACTCCGTTCTACCACAAACATGCAGAGTTCATAATCTTTGATTAAGGAAACCCCTCATGGAGAAGACTGAGACCTCACTTGGATCTAGGCCAGCGAGGCCACTTTGTACATTGACTCCATTACATGAGCAACTCCCCTTAAAGCACATACTTAGGAGACTTTGTACCCCCTCTTAGATCCCCTCCCCCAGGCCAGAATCCTTTCTGGCATCCATTCTCCTTCTCTGACCTTACATTCCAATCCCCTGATCCAGGTCACAATCCCCTCCTTCATTCAACACCGTCACAGATCTCACAGCGTCTCATGCAACCCAGTCCCATAATCCATGCGCCCTTCTGCACCCAACCCTCATCCCAGACACTGCATCTCCTGCACAGAAAAGTGTGGCCCTTGACCACTTTCCAAAACACTTGGAGTGGTTCCCCACCAAAAATTATTGCCCATTCCTGGACTAGGGGCAGTTGGCTACCGTGTCTGCCAGGTCCCTGCTTACTGAGCCCTGGCACTATAGCCTGCTAATTGCCCAGCCCCTGCCTTGGGGTGAGATGTACTGACACCTGGACAAACCTGTTCCCACTAGCTGCCTATCTGGGAACTCACCCCTGTCATGCCCAGCAGAACGCTAACGCCAACCTGCTAAATCCCCAATACTAGCCCGAGATCCCAGCGACATTGTGAGGCATTGTCCTCCCTCCAACCCAGAAAGGAATGAAGGGTCACCACTTGATTACATTCCCCAAGGTTATTTCTGAAATCCATATCAACAAAGTTATCCACTTTACCTGTTTTCTTCCTGAAACCCCATGCTTCTGCTAAGGAGAGGAGACTTCACACCTTGCATTCTACTTGCACGAGGACCATACATGTCAGTAAATCACTTTGGCTATTTCTTGCTATAGTGGACGGAACTTAAGGACAAGCAATATCCTCTCAGATGCATCTGACGAAGTGGGTCTTTGCCCACAAAAGCTTAGGCTCCAATAAGTCTGTTAGTCTATAAGGTGCCACAGGACTTCCCGTTGTTTATCCTCTCAGAGAATCTCTAAATTGATTTATGGTTACATCATGTGCTATGGATTAGCACATTTCCCTTTGCCCTGCGGTGAAAGCACATTCCACAGCATCCCTGCCAGAAGTACTGATAATACGGATCATACACAGAGTGCCTGCCCAGTGTTCCATTTACAAAACATTTTGCTAATTCAGGCCTCTTCTCACCCTCTTTCATCCCACTCCCCAGTCTCAACACGGCTTGTCAGTCACCCACATGTGGAATATACATAAAGGTCAGCACTCGAAATAGTGGAGGTTGTTTACCTGTAAGTGTAAGGTCTTCGAAATGTGTGGTTCCTGTCCATGCTCCACTGTCTGCCCTCTGTCCCCTCTGCTTCAGAACCTCCTTGATTCACAGCAAGAGGAGGAACTGAAGAGGCTTCAGTCCTCACTTCCTCTTACATGCTTGGTCTAGAACATGAGAAGGACTGCTGAGCATGTGTGGGCCAATAGACACTGGTTGTTAGACTTCCGGATTGGGCATACAGCACACTTGCACTCACATGTGGAATACAGTGAGGGACCACACATCTCAAAGAACTTCCATTTCAAGTAAGTTACTTTCCAATTGTATTTTGATTTCTGTTATTTTATTAATTATAATAGAAAAGTAAAAACATTTAAACTTTTACCTACTGTACATGATAAATTATAATAAATCAATATGATGAAGCTGAAACAAAATACTTCTGGAGTATTTCATAAAGAATTCTGAGAGGTTGATGTTTTTGCCTTGATTAAAGATGAAACCAGACTTCAAAATCTCAGAATTCCCATGACATTAGGAATTTTTTCAAGTTTTTTTTAAGTAGTCTAACCTATTGTAAAAGGTTACACATACAGCTACACACCATGCTTGAGAAACTTGTCACTACCTTCTTTCCCTTAGCAAATGGCTATACCAGCATTAATAGGAGGAAATCATAGCCAGTTACAACTAGGTAGATCTCTGTGAAATGTTAAGACATAGCTAAAACATATAGGAAGTGTCTATTTACAGACAAGGGAGATCCTGCATTTTGCATGGGACACCCATGTCTGAGAAGACAACATCCTCCTTTAAGTTGTATGCTTGACCACTGTAGAGTATATTACTGGCTGCATTGCTTCTGGTTTGTCTACACAGGGGCACTCACCCCTGTGTGGGCCAGTAGACCCAGTTAATGCTAATTAAATAAAGAAATGTGCAGCTCATGACAACTTACTAAGATTTGTGAAGTGACCTCCCTGCTAAAATTATTGCCCACTCCTGGGAAAGTTAACATTAATTAAATAAAGGTGTAAAATTTAAGTGCATTAAACTCCTATGTGGATGTTCTTATTCAGAAATAAAGAGCCCTTCGTTTGCTTAAGTAGGCAGCAGATTGTGGCATGGGTATCAGTAATAGTATTACTCCATTTGTGCCTAGCAACCTCAAGCAGGATTGATTCTGCACTGTGCCTAATGCTTTACAACAGTTTTTCCCAACCACGGGCATACCTACCCCAGGGGGGATGCAGAGCTGTTCGGGGATCTATGTCAGCTCATCTAGACCAGTGTTTCTCAATTTGAGGGAAGTGAGATGGGCTTAAGGGGATGGTAATTGCCAAGCATGGTAATTGCCTGGATCCCCATGCCACAGGGGGGCCCCCACAAAGCTAAGTTACACATCTCACACCCAGGTGGAGGGGCTTGGGTGTCAGGCTCCTGAAAGAGGTTTACTGGTTGGAAAAATTGAGAACCACTGCTTTACAAAACATAGGCAGCCAGATTCTGAGGGTATTGCATTGAAGAGTACCTTAATTCACAATTGCATTGTGAGATCAGTCATGGAGTCAGATGTTACTCAGCCTGAGCAAGGACATCAGAATCTGGCCCACAGTAAGACTCTTATAAAAGAGAGCAGGTCCATGGTGTGAGAAAAGCAGCATCTCTGCTGAACGTTCCTGTGTCAGCCTCCAGCCATTACAGTTAATAAGGATCTGAGTGGCATAGGAGGAGCAGCAGCAGCAGCCCCCAGAAGCAACGGGCCCCTCTTGGGTTTATATGGATTTCAGTTTAGGAACCTGCTAAAGAGCTGATGAGTCAGCCATGAGCAACTTCTTTCTATAGCTTCAAAATCACCCTGAAGAGTGAGAGAGAGAGAGAGAGATGCAGCTATCCAGAAGGACCACTTAGTTTCTGAACAGGTTATGTTGCCATGAAGAGGGGACGGTATGGAGTTTGGGTGACTCTTCTGAAGTCAAAGGAGCAGAACTTGCTGTTATTTCCTTAGGCACAAATCATGCCCCAAGAAATGTTTCAGAACAAACCCCAAGTAGAAAAGAGTTTCCCATTCCTTACACAGAAAAAGTCTCTGATAGATAGCATGTTTAGGCCTTTGACTTAGTTACTAAAATCCCATTCTGCAAAGTATTTATAAAGATTCTTATATTTTATTTACTAAATTGACTGGCAATACCTTTTATAAACTGTTTTCTTCAATGTTTTGTTTGAAACAGAAGCATAATGCAAATCTGAAGGCATTAAAGCCAGTCAAACTGGATAGTGAGGTAAGATGCCTTCCTCTATTTAGTACTGAACCTTTTAATTTATTTGTTCAGTTCTTATAAAGAATGTGCTGAGTGGGGAAAAATGCAGTAAGTTTATCATGCACAGGAACAAGCAAAACTTGGAAAACTTGGATTGGAACTGCATTTCCTCACCTCTGATGTAGACTCTGAGACTGAGAAATGGGAGGACCAAGAAAATGAGATTGTGCGCTATGGACAAAGTATATCCAGCATGGCCCACACTATGTACTTATTTACCAGGTAACTGCTCTGAATACATTAAAAAAAATGTAGAACCAGAGAGTTTTTGGCTTTCTTGAGAAAGCAGAACATTAAAGGGACCTATAATTGAGTTCCATTCAGATGCCTCCTCATTTTGTATTCTAATGTATAATACTTCATTAGTAAAAACAGCTTGGTAAGCTTTTATAAGTTTTGGAGGTTATTTTGTTGGCAAGCAGCTGTTTTAGGATCTTCTATGAAGGATTATTTTTAAACATACCCTGAAATTCTGAAAGCTGACTAAGAGTGTCACAATTCTGATTTGAAAGTCAAATGGTAATTGTCAAACTAACTCTCTTAGTCAGCTCTGAAAACTTCAGTTCTTATGTTAAAATAATCTTGACGTTCAAATGTAATTAACAGTTTTATAAAGTAAAAAAGTCATGTTAGGTTTAATCCTTCTTTAACTTTAGATTTCTTGCCTTACAAAAAGGTTACAGGCAGTCCCCCAGTTACGCGGATCCGACTTATGTCGGATCCGCACTTACGAATGGGACTTTCTTGCCCCGGAGCTCGCAGGCAGTGGGACCGCCCAGAGCGCAGCGGTCCCGCCACCTCGACCTCCGGGGCGAGAAAAGCTGCGGGGC